GCATACATTTATTAGTGATTTTTAAAAACATTTAATCATGAAAGAAGACTCTACGTGTACATAAAGAACTTCCCCTGAACCACTGAGTCCTTCCACAAAGGAGTTTGATTTCCAGTTCACTTCTCCCAGCATATCACATCCGTGATCCAGCAATAATGTGGCTTGATTCTCCAGGGGTAAGCATTATCACAGCAAAATGAGTCGAGGACTGAACCGCTGTGGTAATACTTACCTTTGGAGAAGACAATACATAACATGCACAGCCAACATGTTAAAAAAATATACATATTCTGTGTGCCCAAAATAATGGACCAGTCCACCCAAAATTGATATATGTTATTGTTGGTATATATGGTGTTGAACCTGACTTAATCTAAAAGATCCAAAGAAAGGAACAGTGCTAAAGTGCAGACACCTTGGCCCTGTAAAGGTGCCCATTCACTGGTCGCATTTCAGTGGGTTTTTAATGTACTGGCCGAAAATCGCAGTGAGTGGGGCTGTCAGCTCCCTTTCAGCTGGCATTCCTCAATCAGCTGATCGATGGAGCCGGCTTGGAAAATTTCTGATCGATCAGAGCCGGCAGCCAATGAGCGGTATTCCTCAATTGACTCGCTGTTTGTGTTGATGGAGGAATCGGGTCAATTTTGTTTTCGCTCATCCCGCAGGTTAAAGGAAAAAATTGATCCTTGTGTCTCTATGAAGCTCTCTTGGGTCTTGGCACAAGGCTATACATGGGGCCCAAGGTCATCACTTTCAGCAGTGAGGAGTCAATTGAATTATTTGGTCACACGATCACTGACTTGCAGCGGGTAGATGATCTTGGCCATGCTCAAGCATTCTTCCTTTTAGATATTGACGATCAGGAAAATAGCATCATGACCATAGACAGAGCGGACAATAGGGAGGGAGCAGCAAGAGATAGTGACGTTCCAGCAACTTGCTGCTTATAGCAATGCGGGCTCCAGCTGAGGATCAGAAGCATGTTGGTGCCTCAGTACCACTCTCTAGAGTTTAGGAGTGGTGAGGTCTTTTGCAGGCAACACTCTGGTTGCAGACAGCAACTGAACCACATGATTGCTGACTATATGAGGTTCAGAGCTACTGCGGATATTCTTATTAGTGAGGACCCCATGGATTGTTGGGTGTCCAGACTGGACCAATAACCAGAGCTTGCCCAGTATGAGCTTTGAAGCTTGTCACCTGGCAGTGTGGACCAGCTCACTTTCATTAAAATGAGCCAGCCTTGGCTTACCAATGACTACAAAAGCCCTGCTGCTGATGCTACAGGAAAAAAAAAAAAAGATGATACCTGCCACCATTACCAACTCTGTAAAGGTGCTACTCAAAGTTTCCACAGCTGGACCTCAGCTTCCAAATCTCTGATGTGTGCTGCAGGGTAAATTAGTATACTGAGCTTAGGGTAACGGGAGGACGCTAGTTTGTGTCCTCCCGTTACCCTAAGGAGAACTATGGGGAAAAGCCCTGACCCCATAGTTCTCCTTTAAGCCTTGAAGTTAGCAGCCTATTCTGGTGCTCTGGTACTATAACGTTGCATACAATGTACCCAGAGCTGGACCTCAGCTGCCAAATTTCTAATGTTTACTGCAGGATAAAGTTTGTGTTGTGCCTCAATGCGATCGGCTGCATGGGAACGCAAGGCACTTCAATGCCTGCGGTCCGCTCCAGTCAGAATAATTGCTGCAAGCACTATTTTTCCGGACCGGACCGCAGGCCGTGGTGCCATTCACTTGACTGCACCGCCATATCCCACAACAAACTAAGCCGGCCACAATGCGATCCAGTACGTTCTGGCCACAATAGTGGATGGTGTGAACGAGGCCTTAAAGTGTATTTCCACTTTTGCAGCCATACTGGGATAATAGGAATACATAGAAACACTTATTTTATATGTGTTACATGTTTCTCATTCACATAGCATAACTTACATTTCTTTTAATTGTAGCTTGTACAATACATGCTCTATTCTAAAGGAAAAGTTATCCTCTGTACTGAGTTTTGCTCTGGGATGCAAGGGGGGCTGGGCAGGTTAACATAAATAACCCTGACTGTACTGTGCTGGCAGATCTCATTATTCGTTGTAAACTAGATTTGAAGAGTCTGTCCTAACAAAGGGTTAAAAATCTAAAAGCGTTGTATGTCAATGAGAGGAAGCTCAGTGTGTCCTTGTCTTTCTATGGAGAAAGTGAGAGTGAAGCCTGCAAAGGCTCCGCCTACACAGACACATGTAAAATGTAAGAATGTATCTATAATTATTGTTAGGTATGCTGTTTGAATAGGAACACATAACAAACATACGATGGGGTTTTCTCAAATTTGAGAATTAGCAAAAGTGGAAAAACCCTTTAATGTTCGTTTTCTTTAGAAATCAGCCACATCCTAAATAGAAAAGCCTGTCCCCTGCCAGCATGCTGCAGACAAGGACTCTTAAGCTGACCATACACTGTTCTATTTTTTTTTATTCAACCCGCAGGCTGAGCGAAAAAAATAATATGCCTATGAGCGTTAATGGACAAATCCCATGCTGTATCCTTTGCATTCTGACTGCAGCCGCCAGCCGCTACGGAACACAGACCGTGCTTCCAGCTGATTGGCTGGAAAGCACCGGTCATTTGAAGATTTTACAACCGGCTCCTTTGATTAGCTGATTAAGGGATGCCGATAGCAGCACCCACTGTGCAGTTCATTAAGAAGTTTATCTAGTTTCTTATTTAGTTCTGCTGAGTATGAATAGTTTTTAGTTGTAAGGAAAAAAAAGTGTCGTCCGTGCCTGCACATCCTGTAACAGTGGCTGGTCAGTGGGAGGGGTTTAGGCACGGCAGGGTAGCCAGTGATTGGCTGGAGGCAGAGGTCCCTGAGCTAGTTTTGCAGACACCTTGTGATGCGAATGACAGTGCCAGGGGGCAGCTGATAGAAGATGCCTGTGGAGGGGGCAGGGAGGGTGAGTGGCACACTTCCTAATGTTGGCTGCTGGCTGAGCTGTGGAGGGCAGCTCTCTGCGCTGCAATTCATCTCACACAAAGAGCACAGCCGCCTTTACACAATGCCCATAGCCGCTGTCAAAATAGAAAAAAGAAAAAAAAAAAGAAAAGTCACCTCCCTGAAATGAGAAGGACACCTCCCTGAAATAAGGTTTTGCAGGTTGGGAAAAAACATGCAAGGAAACGCCCTGGTGTGAACGGGACCTTAAGGCCCTATTCACACTGAGCGGGTTTCCGCTTGAAATTCGCGAATAGTGCCGCGCGATATCGCGAGGACTAACTCGTCCAATGATTTTCAATGGAGCTGTTCTATTCTACAGCTCAATGTCGCCTGTAGCTCGTCACTGTCGCTCGTCGATTGTGCAGGACCCTTTTTGCTGCGGATGTCGCGCGATTTTGCTCCATTTGCATGCAGCCCAATAATGAAGGTCGTGCGATCGTCGCCTGAAAAGTGGCGCTTTATCGATGGCTCCAGGTACATGTCGCTCAGTGAGAATGGGGCCTAAACTGACTATTCCGAGCATTTCAG